ATCATGTGGTCCACTGTGTCACAGCTGTGAGATTCAAAAGTACGAGAACAACAGAATCACCAGCATCAGTAGAAACAAATATGTCATTAAAAATACAGAGGAGGGCAGATTCTGTGTTGTGTCTAGACTCTTAAAACCAGACTGAAAAGTTTTTAAACATTGTGCTCATCTAAAAATGATTTCTATTGAATAAAAACTATTTTCTCCAGTATTTTGGAGAGAAAAGGATGCTTAGAAGTAGGCCTGAAATTTGCCAGCACAGATGAATCAAAGCCAGGTTTCCTTATCAGAGGATGCACCACAGCCTGTTTAAACTGTGCAGGGACAACACTGGTAGACAAACTACTGTTCACAATGTTTCACACTGCAGAAGCTAAGGAGTCAAAAACCTCTTTAAACATATGAGGAGGTAGCGGATCATTGGGAAAGCCTGCAGCTTTCATGTGAGCAACAGTGTTCTTAAATTGAGGGAGAGTCACAGGCTCAAACACCTCAAAACTAGCAGGACTTGAAACATGCTCAGAGGGTCATGAGATGGAGCCTTAATAAATGCTCTAGGCTGGGGCACATTTAAAATAGAGTCAGTGGTCTTAAAAAGTGCACGAGGATTGTGACCATAGTTGTAGGAACATTAGAGAACTACACGCCAGCATCATGTCTTTCAAAATTTTCAGTAGACAAACTATAAATCAGCACAACATCAAGCGTACGGCCACGCTCCTGCGCAGGGCCAAAAACGCATTAAGATTCAAAATAGTCTTCAGCCAACGGCTTGTCAAGGCAGCAGATGTGGATATTAAAGTGACCAAAATTTGTCAAACTTTGGCACTATTTCAGCCAAAAAATCTAAAAAGTCAAACTGCTGCAATCCCTCCTCCACGACCTGCCATTCTCGGGGCATTGAAATGCAAACAACCAGCTGGTAATAGTCCTGAAAGAGCACTAATCACCATTTATCTAGGTTTCAGTCACACACAAATCAATTATAAATAAATAAAAAATACAAGTTTTATTTTCCAAAGATTTGGTATTTACGGCTGCTATCTTGATAGCAACAGGGAGCGATGAGCTAGCAGGGGCACAAGGGAAACTCGGCCAAGCAGGGGCAGATTTCCATGATTCCTTCTTCTGTGGAGAACATGCGGAGACGGGATGTAGTGGGACTGAGCCCATCCACAGGGACCAGACAGGGAGCGATGGGATCCCGGGAACACCAGGTAACAAACCACCAGAAACGTCAGAGGAGTGTGTGCCAAAGTCGCCTTTAGACTAAGTAGCCGCCTGCGGTGCTTTATACGGCGTGCACAGAGCCCTCTGCACAAAGGTGGAGCGGGGACACAGAGCAGGTAAGCCGGGACTTTACTGAGGAATGGGGGCCGATTGCTGTTTTGCCCATCCTGCTTAAAGTTCATAACATTGTGGGCAGCCGACTGCAAATCCTGAAGCGTTTGACGCTCATATACCAACACAGAATAAACATTTCTGGTGACACTCGACAGGAACAACAAAATACAGAAAAATGCTGACAAAGATAGACAGCCGGCCAAACACACTGCCACCATGTTGAACCACAGACCACCAAAGAATAAAACTTTATTTGAACATTTCTTCAAAGAGGAACATGTAACATGTAACTACAGTGTCCTCTTATCTTGTCTGTAAAACAGATTTTTTTTTTTTTTCTGGATTTGAACCAATCAGCTATGAAAAAAAAAAAAAAAAAAAAAAGATAACTGATGTCTACTAATGAGCTAATTCTGCATAAAATACAAGCATCCCCAGTAAACTGACTGGACTGACCCATGAAGGGTGGAGCAATGACTGGACTGACCCAGGAAGGGTGGAGCAATGACTGGACTGACCCATGAAGGGTGGAGCAATGACTGGACTGACCCATGAAGGGTGGAGCAATGACTGGACTGACCCATGAAGGGTGGAGCAATGACTGGACTGACCCATGAAGGGTGGAGCAATGACTGGACTGACCCATGAAGGGTGGAGCAATGACTGGACTGACCCAGGAAGGGTGGAGCAATGACTGGACTGACCCATGAAGGGTGGAGCGATCAGTGATCCCTCCTCATAAGAGCACTGTCAGACTGTAAACGCAGAGTGCATCCTCACCTTTATCTCAAAGAAAACAAGAAGTTTCCTCTGAGCGACTGAAAACAGAACAAACAGGTAAGAATTCAGAACTCCTGTCGTCCACAGCCTGTGCTTCTGTTTCCTCTGAAGGACATGCTGCTGTTCTCTCCTCTGCTGCACTCGTCCACACTTCAGAAGACACTGCAGGTGAATAGAGACAAATCTTACATTTAGAGATGTCAACCTGAAACTTGTCCTGTAGTTTACTCAAATATGTGTAAGGAATTATTATAGGTATTACAAGTTTATTGTCATGTAATGTTTTAAAAATAACATGTTAAGTGTAAAAAACACCAAAATGGACCATATCTGGGACATTCAAAACAGGTGCGATCTGTGGATCTCATTTTTCAATATAAAACCAAAAATAAAATGAAAAAATAACCGTAACTAACTCCAAAACCAAAATGAAAAAATGGATAACGATTTGTTTTTTCAGTTTTCGATTTTGTGTTAAATGAATAATGGAAAATACAAATAAGAGCTGTTTCCCGTTTATGTGACTTAAACTTCAATGCTGAACTTTTATGCCACATACGGACTGAACCAGGACTAAATCAGGACTAAACCATTTTCAGTCCTGGTCTGGTCTCCCCGGTCTGGTCCAGTCCTGGTCCTGTTCCTGGCCTCAATCCTGGCCTCAGTCCTGGTCTCAATCACAGCCTGGTTCTGGTCTGGTCCTGGCTTCAGTCCTGGTCTCAGTCCTGGTCTTAGTCCCGGTCTGGTTCCAGTCTGGTCGGATATGGTTTAGTCCAGGTTCAGTCTGTATACACACTTGAACCTGCACATGACACACCAGAGTCACACCAGACGACATGGCTCCACTTTATTTTGTGTCCAAATAAAACATTTATATCACAAATCCCAATCAGAATCATTTTATTGCCAATGTCTCGACAAAATTCACAAACCAGAAACTTGTGGTGCAACATTAAACAAAGAATAATATTTGAAACAATGATCCAGTAAAAAATACTTTGATATACAATAAAAAATACAGCAAAGGCACTTCACTGCAGAAAAGTAAGTGACCGACTTTTGCAGTTAACAGAGAGGGGACAAAGGTTTGGGCAACTGCTTTACTTCTGAGAGAGAGTGTAGAGCAAAGTGAGACAGGTGTCTAACTAACCTAACAATGAGCAGCTACCTTGAGTAGCTAAGACAAATACACAACAAATGATTCCACACTCAGAGGTTACACATACTTTTACTCCCTGAATCCTTAAAGCACTCAACTAAACAGACTTCCACACTGTGAGAGCTCAAGCATATTTGCTGATATAGGGTTTCCTTTATTTCCATAGGTCGTCAAACAATGGATTGTTCTGGCATTGAGGTCTTGAACAGCAGCAGCAGAATTGAGAATTTTATTGATGAAAAGATAAAAGAGCACATGTCTGTGGTCTGTATTACCAAACACATGTTTTAGTTTTAAGCTGTAAGTTTATCAAACAGAAGTCAGTTTTTGTTCTGTCTCACAACGAACAGGCACAAAGACGCTTCTACAGAACCTTTCATGATGTTGAGACTGAGACTCGCACTTGGACTTTAGAACTGTGCCGTGCTCAAGCACGACTGCTTCAGGTTCTATGGCCGCACTCACACCTGCACAACCGAATCAGGTCACACCTGATGATGTCATCATGTGGTGTTGTTTGTTTACATGTGCTATCACTTTTAGAAAATGCGACAAAAATATGTATTAAATAGTGAGGCAGATGTGTGTTCTCTTATGATCTGAGCTCCTGCGTGAGCTTATAGATCTAAAAACAGCAGGGAGCAGTGATGACGGCCGGAGACGAGACGCAGCTGAACTTCTCTCTGTCACAGTCCTTATTGAAGGTGAGCGCAGGTTTGATGTGTGTTTTGGAGCGGATTTTATTCACTGTCCCCTGTCAGCACACCTGCCAGGGGTGATATAGTAAAACTGTGTGTGTGTGTGTGTGTGTGTGTGTGTGTGTGTGTGTGTGTGTGTGTGTGTGTGTGTGTGTGTGTGTGTGTGTGTGTGTGTGTGTGTGTGTGTGTGTGTACATGCCGTGCCTGGGCCCGGTTCGATCGTGCTCACACTGGACAAACATACAGTGTTTTCGGGGTGATCCGTGCTTGGGCACGTTTCTAAACTCCTAGTGTGAGTGCATCCTAAGAGTTTGTAGGAGTCTGACCAAAAGTGTAGTATTGTCCTTTTATAAACTTAGCAGAAATGATATCATTAGCTGATAGTTTTACCCTGGGAAAGTTTCTGCAGTTTGATAAATGATAAATCAGAATAACAAGCATCATTCAAGGTTTCTGGGCAGAACATTTAGTAGTTTAACAGCAGCAAGTATTAAGTATGAAATGAATACAATGAACAGAATGAGATGATTATTCACATGTACAATATATTTATTCCAGGGCAGTGAAGTTCCTTTCTATGTGGCTAATTTGGACAATGTCTATAAGCAGTCTGTAAAATGGCAGACACATCTACCCAGAGTGAAGCCTTTCTATGCAATGAAGTGCAACAACACACCAGCAGTGATCAGGACACTCAGTGCACTGGGAATAGGGTTTGACTGTGCCAGCAAAGTAAGTATTTTAAACCAATTCAAGTGCACCTCACTGTTCCTGTTTTAAAGCACGTGCTGTGTGTCAGGGGGAGATTGAGATACTCTTGTCTATGGGGGTGACCCCAGACAGAATCATTTATGCAAATGTAACCAAACCCCCGTCCCACATCAGCTACGCCTGTGCATCTGGAGTGGACATGATGACTTTTGACTGTGAGGAGGAGCTCCTCAAGATCTCCACCTTTCACCCCAAAGCAAAGTAAAGACATTATTTTGATCATCTTAATTCATTGAACTCACCCAGTCTAAACAATCTTTATCATTGCAGACTGGTGCTCCCGTATTTCAGTGGATGACACCAAGGCTCTTGTGAAACTCGGCTCAAATTTTGGAGTCAAACTTCATGCTGTTGTTGACCTGCTGAAAGAAGCTCAAAAGCTGCAATTAAATGTCATTGGAGTTAGTTTCCATGTTGGAAGTTTTTGCAGTGACAGTGAAGCGTACAGGACGGCCATTGAAGNATTATTATTATTATTAATAATAATAATAATAATAATAATAATAATAATAATTATTATTATTATTATTATTATTATTATTATTATTATTATTATTATTATTATTATTATTATGTATTTTTTTGCATTTGTGAACAAGTGCTGTATTGTACTCATTTGATTTGAAGAAGATCACTACCTTTTGATCTGTTATAATGTTGTTTCCTCATCAAAAACATTCCTGGAGTTGGGTTTTGTTTCATTCATACATTTTTAACACATAAATCCTGCCTATTTCTCAAACAGAAAAAAACTCTCTTCCACCTTGTGACGTTAAACTCCACACACCTTCACTAGAATCATTTGGATCATTTCAGCCCTGAACTGCCAACTGCTAAACAAAAGGTAAAAGGAGCTGTTTAACTTGAACTAACACTACATGACATCACAAGGTGGAACACGGCATTTTGAGCTTTCTAGCTTCATGGAGACCAAACCAGGTGAAGTTACAGGTCAGATCTGTGGAGATCGTTTTGCAATATAAAACCAAAAATAAGAAAACGCAAAAATAACTGTATCTAACTCCCAGTGTTGGGAAGGTTACTTTTAAAATGTAATCCCCTACAGATTACAGATTACACACCCCAAAATGTAGTTTGTAACGTAATCCATTAAATCACTTAAAGTGAGTAACGTAATCTGATTACTTTGGATTACTTGATATTGTCATGTTTTTTAAACGACATGAATGTAATAACCACATCCTGAAAATTCTTGTTTGTTGTCTTCAAATTGTCTGAGCCCAAGTCTCCATGAATAAACAACTGTTTGCTGTAGAGAAACAAAGACCACGAGATCTTAATATAAGAGGTTTTGTCTGTTAAAAACAGTAACAAGATCAGTCTTTACTTCACCATATTAAAAAAATATTATTGATAGAGAAATTATTTTTTATATGAGATCACCTTAAATTATGTCAACCTACTGTTAGGTGTCATGTTGTTTAGACCTGGTTTAGTCCTGGTTTAGTCCTGGTTTAGTCCTGATTTTTAGACCTGGTTTACTCCTGATTTTGGACCTGGTTTAGACCAGGTCTAGACCAGGTCTTTAGTTCTGGTTTAGTCGTGGTTTAGTCCTAGTTTAAACCTGGTTCAGTCCTGCTTTAGTCCTGGTTTAGTCCTGGATTAGTCCTGGTTTAGTCCTGGTGTTAGTTCTGGTTTAGAGGTGCACAGGAGGAAGCCCGGTTTACACGAGAAAACACGTTCCACACACGGCGCACGAGACGTCGGTGTCTGCGCAGTAACTACGGAAGGAGACGTGGTCCGCGGGTTCTCAGGTTGATGACGATGATGAAGGTGTGTGTTTGTGTGTGTTTGTGTGTGTTTGTGTTTGTGTGTGTGTGTGTTTGTGTGTGTTTGTGTTTGTGTGTGTTTGTGTGTGTTTGTGTATAGGACAGTAGTGCAGATATTATGAGTCTATGCAGTTTGTTTTCACCAGTGCCAGTAGCTCCTGTTTCACATTTAAGTTGTAGGCGATTTTATATTTGTTTTTTTTCATATATATCTCACATCGGGAGAAGAATTTCCAAGACACAAATGTGTTTTTACCAATGCACTGCTGCTTCCACTGTGTGACTGACACCGCCAACTTTAACATGACGTTTACATCGCTCTTATTGCACGCGTTCTGTTTGGGTTTCAGGCAATGAGTGGAATTACCGAAATAAAAAAATAAATAAATGGGATGTAGCACAAAATGTGAAAACAGGAAAATACCGCCTTGTAATCCACTTATTTCAGCAAAGTAACTGTAATCCAATTACCACTCATTGAAACAGTAACTGTAACGGAATACAGTTACTCATAATTTGTACTCTGATTACGTAACGGCGGTACATGTAATCTGTTACTCCCCAACACTGCTAACTCCAAAACCAAAATGAAAAAAAATGGATAATGATTTGTTTTTTCAGTTTTCGATTTTGTGTTAAATGAATAATGGAAAATACAAATAAGAGCTGTTTCCCGTTTTATGTGACTTAAACTGCAATGCTGAACTTTTACGCCACATACGGACTGAACCAGGACTAAATCAGGACTAAACCCTTTTCAGTCCTGGTCTGGTACTGGTCTGGTCCCGGTCTCAGTCCCAGTCTGGTCCTGTCCTTCGTCCCGATCTCAATCACAGCCTGGTCCTGATCTGGTCCCGGTTTCAGTCCTGGTCCTGTTCCTGGCCTCAATCCTGGTCTCAGTTCTGGTCTGGTCCCGGCCTCAGTCCTGGTATCAATCACAGCCTGGTTCTGGTCTGGTCCTGGCTTCAGTCCTGGTCTCAGTTCTGGTCTCAGTCCTGGTCTGGTCCCGGTCTCAGTCCTGGTCCCAGTCTCAGACCCGGGCTCAGTCTTGATCTGGTCCTGGTCTAAGTCCTGGTCTTAGTCCCGGGCTGGTTCCGGTCTGGTCGGATATGGTTTAGTCCAGGTTCAGTCTGTATGCGGCGCAAAAGTCCGGCATCACAGTTTAAGTCAGGGAAACAGGAAACGGCCGTTATCTGTTTTTTCCATTATTCTTTTTAAACACAAAATTGAAAACTGAAAAACCAAATCATTATCCTTTTTTTTTCATTTTGGTTTTGGAGACAAATATTGAAGAAAATTTTTTGTTTTTTTTCTTTTTTTTCTTTTTGGTTTTATATTGAAAAACGAATCAACGAATGATACACAGATTTTTAAGGTTTTACTAAAAATATACATATACAAAAAGATTGACATTGATGAAATCACACAAGGGAACTGGCAACCATGTTATGTACACAGAATTTAATATTTGACAAGTACAAATATGAGAAAACACCTTTATTTATTTGGTTTATCAGGGGGAAAAAAAGTTTCTAGAGTAAATTGTGGATAGAATTCTCCCTAGTGTGAAGTCAGTAATATGAAACTATTTACTTCATGTTATTTTGAACATATTTTTCAACTTCTCTTCATGAATTGCTTCATGATTGGTGTAAAACTATAATTTGTATTTACAGCAGGTAGAATCCCACTAAATGAAGTAAAAATGAGGGAATGATGAAAACCTGTCATACACACTTGAACCCGCACATGACACACCAGAGTCACACCAGACGACATGGCTCCACTTTATTTTGTGTCCAAATAAAACATTTATATCACAAATCCCAATCAGAATCATTTTATTGCCAATGTCTCGACAAAATTCACAAACCAGAAACTTGGTGGTGCAACATTAAACAAAGAATAATATTTGAAACAATGATCCAGTAAAAAATACTTTGATATACAATAAAAAATACAGCAAAGGCACTTCACTGCAGAAAAGTAAGTTTTGCAGTTAACAGAGAGGGGACAAAGGTTTGGGCAACTGCTTTACTTCTGAGAGAGAGTGTAGAGCAAAGTGAGACAGGTGTCTAACTAACCTAAAAATGAGCAGCTACCTTGAGTAGTTAAGACAAATACACAACAAATGATTCCACACCCAGAGTTTACACATACTTTTACTCCCTGAATCCTTAAAACACTCAACTAAACAGACTTCCACATTGTGAGAGCTCAAGCATATTTGCTGATATAGGGTTTCCTTTATTTCCATAGGTCGTCAAACAATGGATTGCTCTGGCATTGAGGTCTTGAACAGCAGCAGCAGAATTGAGAATTTTATTGATGAAAAGATAAAAGAGCGCATGTCTGTGGTCTGTATTACCAAACACATGTTTTAGTTTTAACCTGTAAGGTTATCAAACAGATGTCAGTTTTTGTTCTGTCTCACAACGAACACAGGCACAAAGATGCTTCTACAGAACCTTTCATGATGTTGAGACTGAGACTCACACTTGGACTTTAGAACTGTGCCGTGCTCAAGCTGAATGATATCATTAGCTGATAGTTTTACCCTGGGAAAGTTTCTGCAGCTTGATAAATGATAAATCAGAATAACAAGCATCATTCAAGGTTTCTGGGCAGAACATTTAGTAGTTTAACAGCAGCAAGTATTAAGTATGAAATGAATACAATGAATAGAATGAGATGATTATTCACATGTACAATATATTTATTCCAGGGCAGTGAAGTTCCTTTCTATGTGGCTAATTTGGACAATGTCTATAAGCAGTCTGTAAAATGGCAGACACATCTACCCAGAGTGAAGCCTTTCTATGCAATGAAGTGCAACAACACACCAGCAGTGATCAGGACACTCAGTGCACTGGGAATAGGGTTTGACTGTGCCAGCAAAGTAAGTATTTTAAACCAATTCAAGTGCACCTCACTGTTCCTGTTTTAAAGCACGTGCTGTGTATCAGGGGGAGATTGAGATACTCTTGTCTATGGGGGTGACCCCAGACAGAATCATTTATGCAAATGTAACCAAACCCCCGTCCCACATCAGCTACGCCTGTGCATCTGGAGTGGACATGATGACTTTTGACTGTGAGGAGGAGCTCCTCAAGATCTCCACCTTTCACCCCAAAGCAAAGTAAAGACATTATTTTGATCATCTTAATTCATTGAACTCACCCAGTCTAAACAATCTTTATCATTGCAGACTGGTGCTCCGTATTTCAGTGGATGACACCAAGGCTCTTGTGAAACTCGGCTCAAATTTTGGAGTCAAACTTCATGCTGTTGTTGACCTGCTGAAAGAAGCTCAAAAGCTGCAATTAAATGTCATTGGAGTTAGTTTCCATGTTGGAAGTTTTTGCAGTGACAGTGAAGCGTACAGGACGGCCATTGAAGATGCTCGACTGGTCTTTGATCAAGCCGTAGGTTTTAACATTTAACAAAAATCATAAATAAATGCCAACGTGCTTCAAGTATTTCTTTCAATCTGTCCAACCTCTCCTCCTCCATATCCAACTCAAATCAACTCCTCTCCTCCTGCCTCCATCTGCTTGTGCAAAAAAATCTGAGGAAATGTTTTGGAAAAAGACTTTCCTTCAAGAACATTTTTTAAGTAGAGACTATGCAGTACATTGTTTATATCTGTGTTCAAATTCTTTTCAGAAGCGCCTTGGTTTTCACATGACACTTCTAGACATTGGTGGTGGATTCACTGGTGAAGAAGAATTTCCAGAGGCAAGACAAACTTACATTTTTATATACATTTAAAATCGTATTCACTAATTTCCTATTTTCTTCTTTTGCAGAGGGCACTAATAATCAATGAAACTCTGGATGAACTGTTCCCTGTGGAAAGTGGGGTGCAGATTATTTCTGAGCCGGGACGCTTCTTTGTGCACAGTGCTTTTACACTGGCCGTTAATGTGATCTCCAAAAAGTGTGAAGCACCAGGCAGTGCAGGTGGGATTCTTTCATGTGTCAAACTTATAGCACGATCCAGATGTGCAACTGATGGAGTCGATGTCATCAACATTACTTGGGGGTGTGATACGAACTGGAAGCACTGCTCTATCTGAGGCTTGTTAGACTTTAATCTGAGATTTATGTTAACACAGTCTGACTCGAAAGAAGGGCTGGGCGATATTTCGATATTTAAAATAAATAACTATAAGTTTTACATTTTAATATAATGTGATCTTGTGCTGTTCAGTCTGTTTTGGAACTGTACAGCTATTGTGACTTTTTATTTTTCAAAATTCTGTTATTTATTAGTTTATTATAAAATGACAAAATATACAGTAAACTGTCAAAGATAATTTAGCTGATATGTTTGGGGCCCAATACAAGTACAAATGTCCTACATACTGTTGTTACCTACCTGTTTAATTCATTATTAAAACACCTTTCCTATTACTATAAGAAACAAAATGTTTACATTCGACTCTCTTTGATGAGAGTTTTAGAATTTTACATGTGAATCAATCAACTAAATAATGGTTTAGAAGCCATCAGCTGAATGGAAGTGATTTCCCCTGGTGCTGTGGTCATGAGAGAGTGTAGAGATAGGGATGAGCTGACAAAGCCACTCACTGAGTCTAAAAACTACATTGTACATTATACACTACAGTATAGAGTTTCAGAAGCTTATATCTGTAGAAAAGAGGGTCAGAGGGACAGTTAAACTAAGCTTTCTTTTGTAAAATCTGTAGTTTTACAGGATAACATGGATAGGTGTTACACCAAATGACATTACAATCATTTAGATCAAATAGGGCCTGGTACAAAGAGAGAAGAGCTTCAAGGGGAAGGAAATGTCTTAACTTAAAAAAATAGACTGTACAGTTGTTATGACTGTACACATTTTAAAAACAGCCAAAGAAAACCACAATCCCCAGAGACACATTTCCCCCACAACTGTTTTTTTTTTTTTTTTTCAAAATAGCTCAATTGTGCAGGATAACTGCTGAACTTAGCGTAATGGGTAACTGTAACTAATGATGTTTTTGAAGAATCTCGCCCAGCACTGTTAATCAGCAGTTGTTCTAAGGCGTGGTCCGTTTGAAGGATCCAGCAGAGCTGTCAGACTGACCGTCACATGTTGGTCTCTGGAAAAGCGAGTCCCATGTGTGAGCTACGGTAAATGCTCCTCGTCTCGTGATGGACAGTAGGTGTGGTCAGTCTGATAGATCTGCCAGATCTGTTAAACTGAGCACTAAATAAGCCAAGTGTTTTTCAGCTAAAAATAAATCAATAATTGCACCAAACAGAATAAAAAAGTTAACAAGGGCACCTTCAAAATCATTTTTCATCCTTCACCCCATAACTTGATTCACTTTCTTGCTAGAACTATTTCTTACTGTATTGTTCTGCTATTGTTTCTCTGCTCTCCAGATAAAACAAGAGAAATGATATACTTTCTGTCTGATGGAATCCATGGCTCCTTTGGAAATGTACTATTTTATGCTGATATATAAAGACATTTTTTCGTTTGTTCCTCACCGGGTAAGAATTCCCTCATGTGACAGGACTCTTGTCCAAAATGATATTAATGCACATTGTTATTTCAGCCCGTGGAGCCCACTGAGCCAAAGTATAAGTCTGTGTTCAGGGGTCCCACTTGTGACAGTCTGGACGTAATCACCAACCCTGTGTGGATGCCAGAGCTGAATGTTGGAGACTGGCTTCTCTGTTATCGTATAGGTGATTATTCACTGGCACTGGCCAATAACTTCAATTCATATGAAAAAGCTCAGATTTACCCTGTGGTCACAACAAGCATATGGAAAATGTTATGCAAGTAATTACTTATTTATCCCCTTTCTTGTTTCTTGTTAGACTAAAGTCTAAATTTCAGCCCTGTTGAGAGACCCCAGGGAACTGATCTTGCTCTTTTAATCTAGGGTGAAACTTTTGTCTTAACCTTGATTTGAGTTTTTAATTGTTTTTAAATGTTTAACCTTTGGATTGACTGTATATTTGTTTTGGCTTTGTTAGAGGTAGCACTCTGTAACCAATAATTACTCTGTAAGCACGAGAAGTAGCAGCACCATGTATTACACAATAGTATCCTGTTGTTTTACTTTGATGCTTATGCTGAACCCTGTATGAACTTGTACGGACACAAGCTGTACCTGAATGTGTGTGCTTAATTTTGTGAGCATTTTGGGAAATGAAAAAGAGACTGAAGTTGGCAGGAAAAGTTGATGATCATGTGGTACGATGTCCTTTATAAAAGCAGCATAGACTGTAAGCCTCTTCGCCCTTTCTGCATGTATTACATGGATGCCAAGTTACCCTGAGTCGAACCTTTGATGCAGACACCTCGTGTGCCCGTATCCTAGGCTTTAACTTGGTCCTTTTACCGGTACAGTGGATAGGCGCTCCTCTTTGCTGTTTGCTCTGGTCGGCTCTGCGGGCACCTCTTATCAGTACAGACTAGTACGGCTTCTCCAAAAAAAGAAAAAATAATAACAGAGTTTGCCCGTTTTTGCTGGTCCCCTATTTGCTGGTTTGCCTCAGAGCTCCTCTTTCCCCGGGAAGAAAAAAAAAAATCATATTATAGTTAATGAATCATAATATATACATATTTATATGTATATATTATGATTTATTAATTCTAATAATAACCAGTACAGCGCCATCTCCTCCTCAGGCGTTAAAACCCAATAAACTTTAACTAAACTTTATTTTCAGCCTCTTATATTATTTCTATATAATTTCTTGGGGTGGTAAGACCCAGTAGAACTAACTAAACTTTATTTAAAGGCTCAGTAGTTAATGAATCATAATATATTGTAGTTAATGAATCATAATATATACATATTTATATGTATATATTATGATTTATTAAAGGTTGTATAGAGGATTTTCCAAGGAAGGAGAAATCCAGCGACTGTTTGTCCTTTTTCAAATGTTGCGCATGTGTGAAACCACCCCCCTCCCCCACAGCTCCTACGAAGAAACGCCTCCTCCCTCCTCCTCCTTACGCCAGAAACAAGTTTGTTTACAGCCGGTGCTGCACATGACTTGTAAACAAAACTAACTACAGTGTTGGTTGAGAAGTAGGAGCGGAGAGGAGCGGAGAGAGAGTGAGAGAGTGAGGAGAGGGAGAGAGTGGATCGGGCAGCGGGGAGAGGAGCAGGAAAGGGGAGCAGAGAAGAGTGCGCGGAGATTCAGTGCGAATGAACTAGCTACAACACGCAGCAGCAAGCGGACTCTTTCTTTGCCTTGAAAATTGACGTTTTCAGACATAGGATATCGCTTTCGTGTCCTGAAAAACGTTTGTGTCAGCTCTTGGAAATAAAGTACGGTTTTTCATAATAAGCAGAAGTTTCCTGTCCAGGAGTAATTTGGCGACCAGTGCGTCAGTCTTTAGACTCTTGCGTCTGCTTCAGTTCGCACCATCGCTGGAATGAATCTCCAAGAATCACCTTAGTTTGGCTTCGCTGCTTTTCCCCTTGTCTTCTTCTTTCAGCGACCTCAAAAACGGACTTTCTTTTGCGGCTAACTGCTCCTGGATTCTTGTCGCCATTCGCAACAAACTTTGTGCGAACTGCGAGGAAGATATAGGTCAAAAAAAGCCGCTAAGAACTGTTGCGTTGGTGGAGTAAACAGCGTCTGTGTGCGTCGTACGTAAACCACGTACCGGCGGCGCGCAGGCAAGTCAGTTACACTAGAAACGTAGGGAGTTTGATTGACAGCCTGTCAGCTCAACAGATAACGAGGCAGTGTCGTTATCTATTGGCAAATGTTTAGCCCCACCACGTCCAGAGTTGATGAATTTTTATTCTCTTTTTTTTGGTCATCATAATTACAAGGCTACTGCATCTATAATCTATCATTGACAATTTGAAACAAAAAAAAAGTCCTCCATACAACCTTTAATTCTAATAATAACCAGTACAGCGCCATCTCCTCCTCAGGCGTTAAAACCCAATAAACTTTAACTAAACTTTATTTTCAGCCTCTTATATTATTTCTATATAATTTCTTGGGGTGGTAAGACCCAGTAGAACTAACTAAACTTTATTTAAAGGCTCACAGACTCCTGGGTTGGCACAGATACCGTCTCCATTTCTGCTAAGAAGAATTTAATTTCAGTGTTTATTTACTTGGAAAAATGTTTATTTGCTTAGAATGTTAATGTTTATGATGAGTAAGTGATGTGTGTAGAGCAGACGTGTCAAACTCAGGCCCAGGGGCCAAATTTGGTCCACGATATAATTATATTTGGCCCGCGAGATCATATCAAATATGTATCAGAGCTGCCCACCGGCGACAGATAGACTATAGAGACATTATTTATTTAAAATGTTGTTATTTTATATTTTGCTAGTTCTGGATTCAATGTTTAAGCAAAACTGTTATTTACAATTCATTTTAATAATAAAAGGTTTAACATTACACATCTCAAAAGAAGAGAAAACATGCAGATGTTGTTGAAAGTTTTCAATAAATATTTAGTTTGGCCCACAACTTTGTCCCAGTTTTTAATTTTGGCCTCTGTGAATTTGAGTTTGACACCTCTGGTGTAGAGTAATGTAGGGAAGGTGAATTTCACTTCAACTACATCTGAGGCAGTTTCATTAGGGAACTATTTGAAGGGTATTTGACAGGCACAAATTTCACTCACTTCATGTTGGCACAATATTTAACCTGTGTTTAAGCCTTAACTTTGCTTTTAAAACTAAAAACACTTTTTCATAGAAACTAAAACCAATGTTCAGCTATTTCAACACAAATTGCAATAATCTGTGTACCTAAATACTGCACACTTCACTGTTTTCTTTGCACTTTTTTTTTTTGGTTTGATCATTTGATCAATTTATTTGTTTGTGAACACAGAACAAAGTCTGTGGAGATGCAAACCCGCTCACAATAAGATGTATGTTTTTCAGTGCCAAAATAAAAACAAAGGTGAAAAGAAAATGTTTTTTTCTAGTCTTTTGCTTTAATTTTTCTGTTGGTTTCAATAGTATTTCACAGTTGTCGGAGCGAATTCAGGGCTCAATCTTCTCAATCTGGCACATTTTGTAATAAGCACTGTACAAAAATGATTTTATTGTTAATAACTTTTAATTGAGTTTTAAGCAGGGTTGAACCATTTAGACATTATTATCATTTTAGATTCCCCTATAACAAAAATGCAATTATATTTTTGCACTCCATCAGAAATGTGCTAAAACGTAAGTGTTGATGTTTTGACTGAGGTTTCAGGTAACATTGAGTAACACCGGGCTTTCACAAGTTTCATATTTCTGCTGTAATTTGAATGTGACACCAGGAGCCAATTTCCTGTCCCCTTTATAAGTGAACCACAGCGCCCCACAGGGGCTGGAGGTTCTCAAATGAAATGTAGTCCAAATGACTCCTCCACTATTGTCAGTAGAATCAATCCTCATATGCAGTCATTAAAACACTTCTAAATGCCTCTCCTGTGCCCTGATCCGGTTCACCCACACCCTCCCCTTCCCTCACCTGTCTGAATGACCCCTCACCTCAAACTAAATCATATAGAGCATTTTCAAAACACAAAGGTAAGATGGTGACATGGTCACATGGTGTGTCAGCAGTTTATTTATTTATTTATTTATTTGGAACCCCATTAGCTTCTGCAAAGTGGTCGCTAGTCTTCCTGGGGTTCATTCAAAAGTATAAAATTACACTATAACATTTACACTCAACACATAAATAATAAATACAATTCATGCATAGTCATAACTGCACTGAAATCCTTCTGTTTTAAAGTGTTTTTAAAGAACATGTGTTACTTTTTTGCACGTGTCCCAGACAGCTGATTCCACACTGCTGAGGGTCTGAAGACCACTGTTCTCCTCAGATAGTTGGACTTTGACAAAGGAACAATCAAATCCCCAGATCTGACCTGACTGGTGACATGTCTGTGACAATACCCACTGTGCACCCATTTATCCCACCAAACCAACTAAGTCATACTTAGAAAAACATGAACACTTTAAATCCGTACCATTCTGTATGATCTTATATGATGAAAGCTCTTGAGATAAACTCCTGAAAACTGCCTGAACAGCACTTTTTTGGCTAAACCTGTGGTCCACAGAGTCCCAGCTGCCCTTCAGCGGTGCCAGCGCAGTCAGGGCCCATGTTACCCAGTTAAAACATCAACTAATCAGATTACTCCAAAACACATGTACAGAGAGTGAAGCTTCATAATGCAGTCTGCACAATAACACCTACACAACAGCTGCTTCTCAGATATGGGCAGTACTCAGTTACGTTTTGAGTAACTTTTTGATAAAATTGTACTTTCTAGACAGACACTTTTAATCCTACTTGAGTTACAGTACTGTACTTATAAGTATNCAGTGTTGTTTAGACAAGACGAGAAGTGAGGAGCGGGGGGGAGCGGGTGTGCGAACATTTCGTGCGCGACGAGAAGTGAGAAGTAGGAGGAGCGGAGCAGGGAGCAGGGAAAGGGAGAGAGGAGAGAGGAAGAGGGAGAGGAGAAGGGAGCAGGGAGAGAG